GTTCAGTACCTCTAAATGCCCCAATTATTCTTTTTGGACGGTAGTTTTATCATGATGTATGAATCCTTGAGTCGATTTCTTTTGGTTATACTCTGTGATGCACAATATTTGTATTAGCTAGTACTCTACTCTTTGGATGTTTGCTTGGAAAATGTTCTCCTCTGTACCAATTTGGTTATTTCATTTATGATGATACCAAGCAAAGCAAAAGTATAAAAAAATACATTCAAGCGAGCTATTTGGACCAAAGCATATTTACCCATACCACCACACACATCCAAAATATATGCTCTAGTGATATAACTAAGGATTAAAAACACTTTGCTCAAACAAATGTATATGCATGTCCAAAAGAAGAATAACAAGGCACAAGCGAGATAAACTGTGCAGAAACTTCTAGTATAGCCATAAGAACATGAAAGTAGAAAATTTTATAATAAACTAAGAAAAAAATCAGAAATCACCCAAGAATTGACAACAAATCTACCTCCAATAGAAACGAAAATTAAGGGGAAAAAGGGTGAGAAAAATAAGAAAATCAAAATCTGAAAAATCAAAACAAAAGAGTGAGAAGATTAAGAAAACCAAAAACTTATAAGAAGAAAAGCAAAGATTTTAAACTAAAGACCGAAAGACTTACCAGTTTAATCCTCCTCTTGAAAGAGATTGAATTAAGAGCTCTAATTACCCTTAGATCAACCCAAAGCAATCTCAATTTCTCACACGTGAAAATAAAAGGCCTTCAGGTGTTAATGACCAATCAAATTGAGCCACAAATGGCCAAAAATTATGAGGCCTTATACTACAATTTAAAATGCTTTTGATATTACAGTACAACTTGAAATGTTTTTTATACCACTTCTTAGAGCTGTGTTAGTCCCAACACCAAGTCCCACTTCTAAATAAGGGTAATATAATATAATATATATATATAAATTACCAACTTTAATAGTGATTTATAATATAATCAAAAAGATATTAACACTCATTTATATAATAAATATAGATGAATAATATCAATACTTCTTTTTGAAATATTAGAATCATTTTTCCAACATTATCTACTAACACGCAATCATCTAAAAAACTAGAAGTAACAATGTTCAACAATTAAAACAAGTTTCATCACTAAAACCCATTATGATAAAACATATGCGGACATAACCTCCTAAAATTTGAAAGTCATGTCCCGAAACATCTACATAGTCTAGAATACGGAGATGCAACCCCAAAACAAAATAAGTCTAAGTCCAAAAAAATGGTCTGAGGAAAAAGATGAACCCACAGCATCCCGAAAGAATTAAGCAACTCACCCTTGGACTCAGAAAGAGCCAAATTCACAACTGAGGTCGTGTAGCAACCGTTGGAATATGCCCTGTACTCAACAAAAAAAAGGAGAAAGTGCAGTAATCGGTACACAAAATTAATAGTAAACTAGTTATAAAATCATCGGTCAGCTCCAGTTATACTAAGTATAAACAGTTAACAGAAACTTAGTAAAACAAGACAACATGATAATATAGCTACAATCAGTAACATAAACGTGACTCCCAATCCTCATCCTGATTTAACAATCACAAAAATATGCTCAATAACATTACAATAAAACCAATCTGATTCACTCATGGAACCAACACACAGAACAATCACCTGTACAAGACGTGACCCGAAAACCAATCGATATAAAACTTGTACCAGGCGTGGTACTAGAGACAACTAATAGATATTTTGTATCATTAATCAAACTTGGTACCCGAACCAACCGATGGCATGTACCATGTGTGGTACATAGGCCAAGAGATTTACATCACATAATCACATTCACACTGCACATAATCACACTTGTAAAACACAATCAAATATGACAAGTTCATTATATGATATTTTTATTTTTAATTAAATATTGGCCATGGGCCATTTTATAGATTAAGTGAAAAAGAGAGCAAAGATTTACCCAACCCAATAGTGGTAGACCCAAAAGCTAAGAAAAAGACAAACTAAAGCTAAAATAAAATAAAATAAAAAATAAAGGACAAATTACTTAACTACACTCCTTTACTTACCTTAATATCCATTTATCCCTACTTATTTCAAAAATTTCAAAAATCCCTTATTTACCTATGTATCCTGTGCACAACGCTATGTATCCCGCTATGTGGAATGTATCAAATACTATGTATCCCATGCACAACGCTATGTATCCCGCTATGTGGAATGTATCAAACCTAATGTATCCCGTGCACAACGCTATGTTTCCCTCTATGTGGAATGTATCAAACCTAATGTATCCCATGCACAACGCTATGTATCCCGCAAACATTATTTTTAAGGGATTTTTGGTAAATAGAAAACTAGAAGGGATAGAATGTTATTTAGTACTTATAATATGTGGTTCCTATAATTTATACAAAAATAAAGCCACAAAAATTATCCTAGAAAATGTCAATCTTTCTCCCATTTGAAATTAGGAAAGTCATGTCTCTCTCAAGATCGTGAGCTTCTGCGGGTTTAACCGATAAGTTCATCTTTTTCCTTTCCTTTCAATTCCTCAATCTGCATTTCTCAATTGTTTTCATTTTTGTTTGTCGATTTTCCAGGTAGTCCCTTGTTGTTGTATGGTTTCATCTATGACAGAGTTATCTTCTTTGAATCTTGTCACCATACCCTTGTTTTTCGCCTTACACTTATCTTGTGTTAGATCTGTAACCTGTGTTAGTAGTGTAGTTGTTGTGCTCTGGCTTTGTTTTCCGTGAGCAGCATAGTTGTGTGCTCTGGCTTCGTTTGTCATGCCTGTGAACCCTTTACTGTCTTGTAGTAATGTATCTACTCCTGACCATCAATTATTTGTGTGTTGATCACCTGATTGCCTTGTTCTTGATTCTTAAATTCGGTACCGAGTGTTTGTCCAAGTTGAGGATTTTCCTCCCCTGCAATGGTAGCTCGCTGTATGTATTAAATTGTTGTCTCCCTGTCATTTAAAATGCATAATTAGCTAAGTAGTCGGCTAATGTATTCCCTTCCCTATAAATGTGTTCAATATTAACAGTAGAATATTGCATCAGTGTTAGAATGTCTTCCACCATAATTCTAATGTTCCATGGTATCTCCCAATTTCCTTGTAGTATGTTCTTCAATAGCAATGAATCGGTCTCTATTGTTACTCTCGAAAATCCCCTTGTTGTACAGTGATATATTGCTTCCTTTATTGCCACTGCTTCTGCTTCCACGTTAGTTGTTTCCGGTATCTCCTCTGCTTGTGCATAGATTAAATTTCCTTCCTGATCCCGTAGGCAGTAAGCATAAGAGCTCTTACCTGGATTGCCCTTACTTGCTCCATCTGTGTTGCACTTTATAGTATTTGAATTTGGGGGCATCCATATGATCTTTTTTGTAGTATATCCTTGGCATGTAGTTCTCTATGAATTTTACCATATCTGACCAGTTGGTGGGAAATTGTTTCATACTTGGAAAACTTGATCTTGCAAATTGCCATACATTGAGGGTAACCTGATAGACAAGTTTATTATATGTCATGTTTCCCTATGTCTGATGATATTTCTTCTTTTCCATATTTCCCAAAGTATAATTGCAGGCATAATTTTCATAATTTGTTGGAGTTTGTGACCTGCCTGTGCTGTCCACCATGTTGTTAGCACTTGGTTTAGGTTTTGTCCTTCTAATCTTAGACCTGCAAAATGAGCAAACATCCTCCATAACTTATAAGCTATTGGAGAGGTTAAAAAAAGATGTTCCACAGTTTCTTGTGTTGGATTATCACAGCACCAACATCTTGATGATATGTTCACCCCCATTCTCATCAATATATCATCAGTGGGTATTCTATATTTCCAAACTCTCCAAATAAAGAAAGATATTTTGAATGGAAGTCTCTTTTCCTACATGTTAAGTAATCTACTTTGCCTCTCTTTCATCTGTCTCACATACTCCCAGGCACTTTTAACTATGAATTTTCCACTTTCTTCAAGCATCCACCATGTTCTGTCCAGTATACCATCAGGACTTGGGATTGTTTTCAGTATGTGTTGTACAATATCTTCTGATAACCACCTTCTTAGTTTGTCTACTTTCCAACCCTGTTGATTTGCAAATTCCTTGACCTCTATCTCTTCCTCTTGACTTGTTTCATGACTGAAGTAATATAGCGCTCCTTGAGTTGTCCAGTTATCAAACCAAAGAGTTGAGTCTCCCCCTTTAATTTTCCACCATATTTGATGTTCTATCAACTCTCTAATCTTGATCATTGTTCTCAATGTGGCGGACGCTCCCTTACTCTGAGCAATTACTAGATGTAGCTTTTTACAGTATTTATTACCCATGTAAGAGCTCCAAAGTGTAGTCTTTGTTATGAAAATCCACCATAATATGCAAAATAGAGCTTTAGATATATCAGCAAGAGATCTAAAACCAACTCCTCCTTCCTCCTTAGGTAGACATAATTTATCCCAACTTATCCAGTGGTTCCTTTCACTGTCTGTAGTGGTTTTCCAGAAAAATCTAATGAGCATCATATGTATCTGTCTTATCACTCCTTTTGGATGAGATAAATCAATCAATAAATATTTAGGAATACTCTGCAACACATGTGAAATTAAAACAACTCTTCCATCAAATGATAACATTTTTCCTTGCCATCCCTGTATTCTTTTTCCCACCTTTTTAATCACTGAATCATTGTGGGAAATCTTATTTCTTCCATAGAATATAGGACATCCCAAGTATGTGAAAGGGAAAGCTCCATGTTTTATGTTGGTTAGTCTTTTGATGCTTCCTATCAGTCTTGGATTCACCTTTTCATGTACATAAAATGCACTCTTCTCCAAATTAATTAGCTGACCTGAAGAGTTTTCATATCTTCTTAGTACCCTAATTATCATCTTCATTGATTTCTTGTATGCCGATATAAATAAAATTGTATCATCTGCATAAGAAAGATGGCTAATATTTGGGCTCCATTTGGGTAGACCATATCCTTTGAATTCTTAATTTTCCCACAGAGCATTTAAACCCCTCGTTAGTGTTTTTGCTGCAATTATAAAAAGAGCCGGTGATAATGGATCTCCCTGCTTGACTCCTCTAGATGACTTGAAAAATCCATGAGTCTGCCCATATATCAAAATTGAGTACCAGTTATTGGACAGAAGTCTATATACCATGTCAATTAAAACTTCAGAGAACCCAAATTGTCTCAAAACTTTAGTGAGGAATACCCATGATAGCCTGTCATATGCCTTGGTCATATCTAGTTTTACTACCACATTTGTTGTTTTTGTCCTCATCCTGATATCCCTTATAATCTCCTGTGCCAAAAGAATATTTTCCACTATATTTCTTCCTTTAACAAAACCTGTATGGTTTTCCGAGATGATAGTAGGCAGAAAATTCTTTAATCTCTCATGTATAACTCTAGAAATTATTTTATTACAGAAGTTACTCAGGCTAATTGGTCTTATATCTGCATAGGTATGCACCTGGTCCTTTATTGGTATTAAGACCAAATTTGTGAGTAATATATCTGGGAATCTCTTGGCCTACAAAGAAGGCCCTTACCATTCTAATTATGTCTTCTTTTATGATGTTCTAGCATGTATGATAGAAAATACTTGTAAATCCATCTGGACCACATGCACTTTCTTTATTTAACCCAAATACTGCTGCTTTAACTTCTTCTGTTGGCAATTCCTCCAGCTTTTGATTCTGCTCCTCTGTTACCAAACTAGGAATATGATTTAATAAAGAGAATTCTTTTTTAGATTGATCCTCTGTAAATTGCTCCTGAAAGTATCTTATGGCTTCAGCAGCTATGTCTCTTTCCTCTGTTAGCCAATCTCCTTGAGTATTCTGTATTCTATTTAGCTTCAACTTTTTCCTTTTTCCTGTTACATATGAATGAAAGAATTTGGTATTCTTTTCTCCCTCTTGAAAACATTTCAGACCTGATTTCTGTCTCCAGTACTCTTCTTCAAGATGTAAGTATCTGCTTAATTGTGCTTGAGCTTTATGTAACTCTTCTTTGTTATGTAAGGTTGGAGATTCTTCAAATCTGACTTCATGAGCCTGTATTACATCCTCTAGTGTTGCAATTTGCTGAAACACATCACCATATGTTTCCTTACTCCAAGATCTTAGAGCATAATTCACCCTCTTCAATTTCTGTTGTACCATGTAAAAAGGGTCAAGTCTCCAATGTTCCTCTACTAGCTTTTCAAAAGAGGAATGTTTAGCCCAAAAGTTTAAGAACTTGAATGGTTTGATAATTTCCTCAGTATTCTGTGAACATTCCAACACTAATGGAGAGTGATCTGACCCTTTTTTAATAAGATGCTTGATCTTCATAGTTGGAAACAAGTTCATTAATCTTTGATTTCCCAAAATTCTATCTAACCTTTTGAAGATGCATGCATCCTCCGATCTTCCATTCCACCATGTGTAAGTGCTTCCAATGTAGCCCAGGTCATATAGACTACTAGTAGCAATACAATTGGCAAAATCTTCAGTTTCCTGACAATAGACCGGAAACCCACCTAATTTTTCTTTAGGAGAAAGCATTACATTGAAATCACCTCCTACCAACCATGGTAAGGAAATGTGACTAGAGATATGTTGTATTGAGTTCCATAGCTCTTCCCTGTTAATTGCATTACAAGATGCATACACTACAGTGACCAATGCCTCAACTCCCATGTTTTGATGTACCACTTTTAATGTCATTTGTTGTGTAGAATCTTCATTAACATCTACATGTACATCTTTTGTGAATATCCATATTTGACCAGAGCAATTTACCAAAGCAGTATCATGACCCAATCTTCTTCTATATCTCTCCAAATCAGATAAATCTTGAAAAGGTTCCATCAGACCTATTAACCAGTAATTATTTCTTCTATTTTAATTTGTCAGTCTCTCAAACGCTTGTTGAGTATTCACTGACCTAATATTCCATAGAAGGATCTTATTCATCATTAATGACTGTGTTTTGAGGCAGCTTGCCTCTTTGGTAGTTGTCTTGTTGCTTGTGAGGTATCTTTTGAGATTTTCCACTTTTGTTTTTTAGATGACTCTCCTCTATTGCCCTTGTATGTCTTGGTGAAATGTCTCCTGCTTTAGCCACCTCTTTTATATTCTTCTCCAATGTTTCCTTCTCAATGTTCTCACGTCTAAGGTTGTTGTTTTGCATTTCTATTTCTGCCAAGGAAGCATCAATTTCTTCCTTGTCAGGATCTAAAATGACTCGTTCTGTTGTATCTATTGCCTCTATCCTTTCTTCATCATGTGTGTTCTGTTGCTTTGTTAATTCTAGCTGATTCTGACTTGTTGTCTACTCTCTGTTCCCTAACTCATCCGTCTTATTTTCCCCTTGAGTTTTCTTTTTCTAAATGACTTTCTCCTTGGAACTTATCTCACATGTGCTTTTCTCTTGTGTGCCTGTGTTATTCGTAGGTGTTTCACTGCCTACATCGTGTTTACTGTTAGAACTAACTTGTGGTTGTGTTATCTGATTCTCCTTTGTCCCTTTGTCTTTTTTAAAATTAATATCCACCCATTGCCTTGTTCCCATTTGCTTGTTGATGTCTCTTTCTTCTTCAGATTTGTTGCTGCTAAGTTCTTCTTCCCTGTCCTTGTTCTCTTCAGTCTCCTTGGTCCCCTTTGTTGCACTTGTATTAGTGCCGACTCCTTCAGTATGTTTTTCAGCTTCCACTTTATTTTTGCCATTGTACATCTCTATTATCCTTCCCTTTTTATCTTTTGCATATTTATTTCTTCGCTACATCCATTCCTGCTTTCTTTGTGTGTTACCAACAACTTTACCACTACTTAGTATTTTGGTCTGAGTTGTTGTTGTTCCCATTTTGTCCTTATTTTCCTCAAGGTTTTCTCTAAATTACCTTTCCAGCTCTGGGTGTAATGCACCACATTCAGTTTCTCTATGTCCCTGTAGCTTACAATAACTGCAATATTTTGGCAGATAGTCATACTTGATTGTGATCCATTTAGAATTTACTTTTCCTCTGACTTCATCCTCTTCTGCAATTTTAATCCTCTGTGGATGTTGTGCTAATAAATCTACCTCCACTTTAACCTTTGCACAACTAGGTCTAGTCTTGTTTTGTGTCGCCATATCTACTGTTAATGGTTTTCCAACTGCAGAGGCTAGTGAGAAGACGACTTCTCTAGCAAAGAAATTAGGCGGCAAGTCTGGAAAACTAATCCATGCTACTGCTATTGATGGCTCCTCTTCTGGAACAAACCAAGGATTCCACTTCAATGGTCTCATCTGATAGTATAGGTTGTGCACCTTCAAATAGTATGTTGGGGTCGACATCATCTTCACATAATCCTCCAATAGAGATAATCGTATTAAAACATGTCTGTTTTCTAATAGTCCTATGTTGCATGGCCCTTTGATCTCGCATTGCACTGGGATTACTTTACGTAATTCATGTAAATCTGGCTTATCAAAGAGAACTTTCTTATTGCAACTGCAAAATGAAATTCAAGAGCACCGTAGAGTGCTAAACTTCCTTTTGAGAAGTTTTAGAACAATGGATCCTGCAAGGAAAGAAGCGCGCATTCGCGCTACTAGAGAACGCATAGAGGTTTTGGAGGAGAGGCAGCAAGCGCTGCGGGTGGAGCAGGAAGCGCTACGCTCGGCAGGTCAAACATCTTGCTTTTCACCCTGAAAGATTCCTTCGAGAGGCATATTGTAAATTCTCTTGTATGATCATCTGTTGAACTTCTGATGACTTCCAAGTGATTTATGGCTCAGCATGTAGTAAACCATTGTCTTCCTCTGAATTGGCATTGTGTTGTAATCTGATTTTAATACTTCTGAGAACTTTGTGGTTAGAGAAGAGGGTTATATTGTGGATGTGGAGGGAGCATCCTCCAGTGGAGGTTGTCCGCCGGCCACCAGGGCCATCAATGGTAGTAAGTGGTGGTTTTAGGTCTAGTGTTCAAAAGATGCGTCCTTTTCTTGTGTTTTGGTCTCGGGTTATTATATTATATGAGATTGACTAGGGTGGCAAACGGTAAATTGGATCGGTTTGGATGAATTGCGCCAAAATTGATTGAATTACAATCTATCCTATAAAATATGGGTAATTATGAATTTGGTCAAATATGGTTTTGGTAAAATGATTCTAACCCACTTTAATCTCCTAAAGTCAAAAAACATTAAATAAAAGTAAATTGTTAATACTCAACCCTATCACCCCCACCCCACTCTTGAATAATTAAATTGTTTAAAAAATAATTTTTCGTACAAAAAAGAATTTATTTTTTTCCACTTCCATACCCCATCCCAGCCCACTCCCCACCCACACCTCTGCCATCCCAATTTTTTTAATAAAAAAAATTCGCCCAGCCTACCCACCTCTACCCCAGTACCAATTGTTTTTTAGAACAACAATTAAAATAATATTTTTTTTAAAAAAAATCCCCCCCACCTCCACCCTACCCCTATCCAGACCCTCCTACCCCCAATTTGTTTTTTAATGACAAAAAAGTTAAATATTTTTCACACCTTCCCCCTCCCTCCAAGCCTACCCCCACTCGAACCCCCTACCCCCACCCCTCACATAATTTTTTTTTTTAAAAAAGTTAATTTTGATTCATCCCCCACCTCCACCTACCCCCTACCCATGCCCCCACCCATATTTTTTAAAAGACAATTAGTTTTTTCTCCCACCCCACCTCTACCCTACCCTACACCTCCACCCGACCCCCTAATGTTCTTTTTTTAAAATAAAATAAAATATATAGATTTATAAATTTTTAGTGCAATTAAGGATATTTTTTTATTATGATTGGGTGATCTATGAGTCTATATGGATTCTCATATTTTACCCATTTTGTCCATATTTGTATGATATCTTAAATATAAATCAAAACATATTTACCCATTTAGAAAAGGGCAAATTACATAAATCACATACTTTTAAGGCAAAATTACAATTTATCCCTTAAAAGTTTATAATTACAGAAATCCTTCAAACGGATACAATAATATAAGTGCTGATACATTAATCTGATGCGCGAGATACATTAATCGTTAAGTAAGATACATTACATTTTATACATGATACACTAATCTGATGTACATTTTATACATGATACACTAATCTGATGCGCGAGATACACTATTCTGATGGGCGAAAATGAGGAATTTTGGAGATTTGTAAAACTTATAGGGGATAATGGTATTAAGTAAACTAAAAGGCGGGATTTCTGTAATTTTTCCTTTAAAAAATATGAGTCATCCATTTAAATAAATATGGATTAAATGGATCCTTTCACTTTATATGGGCAAAAATTGTCACCCCTAAAATTGACAACAAGATATCATTTCAGTTTCATCCCTTTCTAACTCCCTAATCACGTATTGTACAAGTAACACTTACGAAACAATTAACATGAAGATACAATGTAAACAAGAAACAATTCACCCATCACCTCCTCAAATCAAGCCTGAAAGCTCTATTGAACTTGAACCTTCCCCTTGTTATGAAACCTAACTTGTTCTTGCTCTATAAACAATAATGCAAAACAAAAATTATACTGGAATTATATCCTAATCTCAAAGCGCAGGACACTCTCATGATTATTCCACCTAAACCAGGGTTTTCCACGGTTAAATCAAGTCAAACGCTCCCCTAAAGTTACCACCACAGATTCTCATTCCTAAGAATCAAAATACCAAGTTAGGAGATGATTTACTTGCCCTTACAGATAGATGCTTTTGTGGTAAAAACATTAAAATTACTCTAAGCGCCCCTGCACTTTCCTAAAATGCTCTTAAATGATCATGGGAGGTTTTTGGAGAATTTTCTACATTATTAGCAACTTACCCTACCATAACGGTCTTATCTTGCTATAGCGGCATCGCTGTGCCGGGATATTCTTCTACAGAAGGAATCAATTTCAATACTGTAGCGGCATGTCACCTATTATAACTATAATATTCCAGAAATTTCATGACTAAACTAGTAGCTAACCTAAAACTAACTAGGCTAAGCTAAAGCTTGATGTAAGAATTAAAGCCTTAAATTTACCTTAAGATTTATGGTTTGGTGCTAGGAGGTCAAGGCCTAAGCCCTAAGGACCAACCAAGAGTCCTTGGGGAAAAGACCTTAGGGCTGCCAGGCAGTGACCCACGAGATGGTTCCACGCCACGTGGATCAACCCACACCCCGTAGGGAGGCAGCGTGGGTGAAACCCCCTTGGAATCTGCCTAAGGCAGTAGCCACGGGCAGGACCCACGTCTCGTGGCCTACCTCCGTAGGTCAAGGCCCCAAATGGACACTCTCTGAAGCAAACCACAAATGACCAGCACGGGCCGTGGTCCCACCCATGGTCTATGGGTCCCCCAATCGTGGATCACCCCTGAAACGACCTTTTGGCAGTTGAGTCTAGGGGTTCTTTAGTAATTTCCTAATTAATTAATAGTTATGTGGTGTCGTTTTAAGCTTATTTTAAAGGACTATATAAGTATTTTTCCCACCCAAAATAATCCATCTAAAGTCATAATCATAAATTCCCAAAACCAAATCAAAACCTCTCTAAATATTCTCACTCTAGAAACTCCATTGAAGAAGAAGAACAAGGTCAAGTCTAAGGATCAAAAAGCAACCTTTTCTTTCCAATTTCGTGTGGAAAATCTCCCTAAGGTATGGTGGCTTTCATTCATGGTTAATCTTTCAACCATGGAGTCCTTAAATTCTCTATTTTCAAAGTACATAAAGTCTCCAAAAACCTAGGGTTTCTATTCTAAGCCATAGATTCTTTTCAAAACGTTTTCATTGATTTAGTTAATGTATATTATGATTGAATTGTTGATTATCAAGGCTTATATGAGA